AAAAAAAAAAAAAAAAAAAAAACATTCGTTCTCCAGCTGCTGTTTGGCATAGCACTATTTGTTCGGAAAACCTTATTAAAATGAATGAACCGTCATATAAATACTGTTATGTGCCTTTATGTGAAAATACGACGTTAAAAAATCCGGAAAAACTGTTTGTTCATGTCCCAAAATTGAAATTATTGAGGAAGAAGTGGTTGAATTTAGCACGGCGAGATCCAAAAATGACATCGGATAAATCAACACTTTATTTTTGTGAGGACCATTTTAATGTAAGTTTAACTTACCTACATAATACCTTATTTCAGTTTATTCTATAATGCAATTGCACGATAATAAATCGGAGTAAAGATTTAATTGTCATAGCATTTTGAGGTTATTTTTTGCATGTAAATATTATTGTAACCCACACATTTTTTTCTGTTTTAGTTACCTGAGGACATGGAAAACTACACAGAATATCGTGTTATGGGATCAGTCAAGCGAGTTCGTTTGAAGCCAAATTGTGTGCCTACCAAATTTTCATGTCAGCCAGATAGATTAAAGAGAACAACTCAAAGTCCTACGAGATCTGTTGCTGTAAAAAGACAACGTAGCTCGTTAATGGAGGAAGCAGCAGTGACTTCAGATAGCACGGATATTCCTACCACTTCGGCTGCAAGTAACATAGAAACAACCAGTGAGTACTACTTAATGGAAAGTTCAAAATTATTCAATCATTTTTTTATTAAGTTCAAATTTAATAGTACCTAAGCATAAGCCATGAGTACCATTACCATGGGTAATAAGGGAGGGTAGCTCCTTTCCTGGAAATTGTATGCTGTACAATATAAGTTAACTTTTGAATAAACTTCTTACTTCTGCTTACTACATTAAGCAAGTGCACCTAGGGTTGCCAGGGCGCTAGGCCTTATAGCCGGACAGACCAGCCCGTTTAGCCGGACATTTGGCTAAAAAGGCCGGACACCCTACATTCTTAAGGATTTTGTATCTCAGTATTAATAGGTACAACAAGATTTAAGTATTTTTTAATTATTGTCTAAGTTGAACAAGCAAAGCAAACTTCGCTCCTGCCATGTTTGGTGTTTCGTTTCACTTGTTTGTGATTGTGATAAGTTTAGGTAAAAAGTCTAACAAAAGTCAGACAGGCCGGACACCGTTTATTTTGACCGGACTAGCAATCAAAAAGCCTACCTATGTCCGGCTTTATCCGGACGCCTGGCAGCGCTAAGTGCACCAATACCAAGTCCTAGTTAATCTACTGTAAAATATATTCAATATGTTGTATTTTCAGGTTCACATTCTATAGGTGAGCAGACACATCATTCTGAAGCTAAATTTAAAAACCAGTCAACACTGGTATATCCTGACACAGACAATAAACTTGGCCAGGTATCGTTGATATCTAAATATAGAAGCAAGGCAACACAAAACACTGTTGAGACAAGACACAAAGTAACATCTCCCGTAGCATCTCATGCCAAATGTATTGGAACATCACCATTCCAAAGCTCAACAGCGAATCTTTTACTTTCTGGACAAATGCAGGTTGACTGTATAAGAAAATTAATGTTCACTGCAAAGGTTTCAGGAGATTCATCACCATCTGTTCAATCATCAGAGGTGGAAATGTCTTCAGATGTATCATTAACTTCATCACCATCTGTTCAATTACTACAAATAATATCAAAAAGTGAACAAGAAAATAAGTTTAAGAAAACATTAATTGAACAAACTATCAAGCTTTTTTGGTATACCAAAAGAATGCTATTTTTTAGTCAATCTAATCCAAGCACATACAAAGATACCTAAGGTGTGTAGCGACAAATAGCGCACTACATAAACAACAGCACCAATCATGTGCAAGAGTCTACATCGCGCTATAAGAGTTTTCCACACAATTAGCACCCATACAGATATCCCGACAACAACTGTCGGGCAGTAGCCCACCAGGCACGAACACCTCGCTTGGTCGGAGGATCCTCCCTTTTTAATGGAGAGTGAGGAACTTTCCACCCTGTTCCTCATACCTCTACATACCTCTAAAGGAGCATATCTTATTATGTTTTTAAGTAAAATAAGATTTAACACACTATCTTTACAGCTAGGAGACCAATTTGGTATATCTCTGTCTTAAGCCAGTAAAATATTTATTAAAAGTATACCCGTGATAGTGAATGTTTTGCATCCTTTTATTATTAAGCCTGATACAATTAAATACAATTAAACTAAATTTACCAACTGCATTTAGGCTTTAGAATCATAATATTCATTGTATAATTGATTGCTTAGAAATTGAAATCCAGAAACCATCCAAATCACTCCATCAGACCTTAATTTGGTCTGAATACAAGAAGGCCAACACCATTAATGCATTGGATCCATGCATCCATGCACCATCATGGCACGCTTGATTTCTATACAAGGAATGAGACTAGCATTATGTATTCAAATATAAGTCTGTGATTCTGACAAACAACTGACAAGTTTGTTATGCATTCCTCGAAGGACGATATATTGAGGCAGCATTTTGTGCCTAAACATGATGGTTTGAGGCAAAATGTTACTCAACGTAATTTATTGATTCCAAATGGACTATTTGGAAATCCTAATAGTGACCCAACAAATAGAAAAGTTATTGTGATTTTAGATGGGACTTGTGTAAACTGTAACATATTCTGTATCACCATATTTCTGGAAAATAAATGATTTATTATTATTATTATGTATGTCTTTACCAATCACGGGACCACAGGGTCCCGGCCTTAGTCGAGGCCATGGTGCGGAGTGAGAGGAACTGGGACGCCGTCTCCTCCTTTTGTGAAGCAGTCATGCTCGCAAAGAGAGAGGCGGCCCGCGTGAGGGAGCAATCCTCCTCCTCACGCCCCAGCAGCCGCAACTGGCGACACTACGGGCGTCGGGGATCGTAAGTACGGGCCTGCGGTCGGCGAGTAAGGGCAGCTCGCCGCCCGACCAGAACCAGGCCCGAGCGTACGGCGCGTAGCGTTCCGCGCGCGCCTCAAAGAGCCAATAGACCACCACAGACGGGGCCCTAAAGGGCTGATGTTCAGCCGGGGTTGCGGGGTAAGCGCAATGAGGTACCGCGACCTCGGCACAGAGCAGGAGAAGGAACAGGGGGGTTTTTAGTCAGTAAGAGTCTGACACTCCCTCCTGCCCGGCCCTGGGCGGGAGAAGTCATTTGATGATTTTCCCCTCACAAAAAAAAAAAAAAAAACGGGACCACAGGGTCCCGGTCATTTGGAAGGCGTACGAGGGGCCGGAGCCAACTGCGCAGAGGCCCTTTAGACAACTTTAATCTAAATGAAATGGGACACAAACCGGCGACTATCCCTGTATGCACTATGGAAATACACCTAAGGACAGTCCCCGGTTAGTGTAGGACTATTGCGGATAATGGAAACAAGGGATAAGGCTATGGGTGTAAGTTGTTATGGACTGGTATAATAGGAACTATGGAAGGACAATGGCACTTGCCGAAACAATATAATAAATACACGTAAAAATGGCAGGTTGAGACTCGCCAACTCACCGACCGGGCCCCCGGGAATGGTTGCTAGTAATAGCAACAGAGGGACAACGGAGATGTGAGTGGCTGAAGGGTGAAGAAACTGCCACCAGCTTTCTATTTACTTAGATCATCTGCATCTGCCTAAGCACCCTGCATCACTGGCCCACTCGCCGCTTACGAACAGCTTCCACCCTCCGAGCAGGATCACTACTCTCGTGAGTCCACTCTGGACGGCCAATGAAGGCAAGCCAGAGGTGGGAGACCTGTTCCTCGTCATCGTTCACTCCGGCTAGCCAATGAAGGCAAGCCGGAGATAAGGAACGGTGACTCCTCCCTGGAGCAATCGGAATGATGGTAGCCCGCGGGATCGCTAATTCCCGTCACCTTGCCTCAAGGTGCCCTGCGGTCTTATTATTATTATTAACACTACGTTGTTGCTACCGCGTGCGGGACTATGAGTTCGATTTCAGAACGCAATTACAAACTTCGCTCATCTTTCTTATTTAATAATCTGTGGTAATTTGTGTCAGGTGTCAAGTCAACAATCATTTTCAGAGTTTATAAACACTACGTCCTAGTATTTTTATCAAAGTTTTTGATACCTAGGTAAAGATTATTTGATTATAAAGACTTCATATCGAATTTTGGTAACTTTTGATGCTATACGTAGTTACCCAGGAAACATAGGTTACCATTTTTTTATTTTCAGTAGTATGCCACCAAAGAGACGCACTGAATTAGGTCGCAGAACCCGAAAAGCTGAAAAGCAAAGATGTATGAGAGCAAATCGAAACAATGAGCAATACGAAGCGCGTAATGATCTTCCACGAATTCGAAAACATAGTACAAATATTAAGATTAATCCCCACAGCCCTACATCCAGTTATAATGTGCCAATTGATTATAGTTCAGGGCAAAATGTTGCATTTGGACCAATGGGCATTATGTGTCCAGTTTGCAAGGCACTGAAAAAACTATTGCATCCAAGCTATGCTAAGGGGGTGGGTGTTTCTCGGAAAAAAGTTACCATTAATTTAGCAAATAATTATCCTTCCGGGTTGATAAGCATCCTAGCATCTAAGCTGTGGTGTGATTGAATGTAATCTAATCATGTTTGTAAATTTTTTTTCACTGATAATCTCTTTGCCATTTTTGGTTAAATTGATGAGGAGAATGACCCCGGGATGAAGTTTGTCCGTTCAAATAGTTCTTAATAAATCTTTCATATATAGTTTATGGTAAAATTTATATTCTTTGCGTTTAGTTTAAATATAATAAATTCTTCATTATAATGAAAAGTACGCATTGTACTTATTGATGGTGTTTTTAATTAATATGTTTTAATGTGTATAATATTTAAATAAAATTTATTCAATTGACATACTTATTTGATTTACTGTGCTATATTATAAATGAAGTTTTTATTATTGATTATATGAATTGAATATTTTATTTGGATGATATGTTTTAGGTGAATCCAAGTACTTCTACAACTGGGGAAGAATTTCTTGATTCCAGTGACCTCTCATCAGCTACTGAGGATGAGAGGACTAATGCTGATGCTGGAACTTCTTTCTCTGTGGATTTGGACCAGGTAATACAATATTTTTGTTATAATTATTAATTGAACTAGGTATCTATTAATATTATAAAGAGGTAAAATTTGTAAGTTTGTATGTAGGGGGCATAGACTACTCAACCTAAAGACTTCACTTTGCCAGGCATATGTATTCGCCAAGGTTAGGCAGTGACACTGCATAAGAGCCGGCCCCGACCCTATCTGTTACTCATTCCGCCGCCGATAATCAAAGCGAAACAACAATATTGCCAATTTTGACGTGTCCTTAAACGAGCCAATGAAAACTAGACTACCTTTCCCGCAACCCGCCACCTTTGAGCCATTTTGTTTTCGTACTGAAGTTTGCTTTCGCGTGGTCTTTAGGTTGAGTCGTCTGTCTGTCGTCTTAGATTTTGTGATACCCCATATAGCCTATAACCAGCAGACAATTAAGACGTTTATATTGATATGTCTTTTGTCGAATTCTGCTAAGTAGTTTAGAAGTTACGAGGGAACAGATGAACATACATACATACATAGCCTGTCAAAGTCATAACCCTCCGTTTGCTTTGCCGTAGTCGTTTAAAAATAACAGTTATCTATACCTATAGTCTTCTTCTTTTTGTTTATCTCTCCTTCGATCGACTGACTTCGATCGAGTCAGAATTTTAATTCGATTCCTGATTTGTTATGACCTACTGTCATTTTGTGAAATAATGATACAAGAACAAGTGTAGTGATGAACACAAAAATCGATAAACAATAAGTGAATCAGTTTCAGAAAGGCATTAAAAAAAATACGGCTACCGAATGGTCTAAATGCGTAGCCCATGTTGTCAAAGAAGAGGAAAAAATGAGTACGCTAAATATGTTAATTGACAATAAATATATCACAGACACGCGATGACGGCGACAACTTATAAAATGTCTGTTTTATTTGTCATGTTTCTTCATGATCACATTTTTTATTAATTTCACACACAATTACAGAAGAAAAGTCTCAGATCGTTACTTAATTAATTGTCAAAACCAATGATGTATAAAACTATAGATACGTTGTCCGCGCTCTAAAATGACAACATGAAATGAAGGCAACAATGACGTATTATATATAGACACGTCATGAACCAACATCGCGGCGCTTAAAAACGGCGACAATACTAGATAACTACTTCTACGAGTAAAGAAAGGGAAAGAAAATATGACATCGTATAGTGGAATGCCTTTGCTAGAGGGAGATAAATATACATCTTCAGTTATGCCGACGGCACGTGACTATACCTTCATGCGCCGGCCGCCATAAGATGGCGGGCGCCGGCGTCGAAAAAAATAAAATAAAAATAGATTTTTTGGTGAACTTACGCATGAAATGACACATTTTTGTCTTTAACTTTTGGAGTATAATTTGTACATCGTCTGAACACACACGACGACATGCTTTCTTTGTGTTTCGCACAGGTTTACACACGATATAAATTAAACAAACGTAGCGTCGCGCGGCAGGTTGGTGCGTAACTAAGCGCGATGTTGTCAATTGCCTTCATTTCATGTTGTCATTTTAGAGCGCGGACAACGTATCTATAGTTTTATACATCATTGGAAGGCAATTGAGAACATCGCGCTTAGTTACGCACCAACCTGCCGCGCGACGCTACGTTTGTTTTTAATTTATATCGTGTGTGTAAACCTGTGCGAAACATAAAGAAAGCATGCCGTCGTGTGTGTTCAGACGATGTACAAATTATACTCCAAAAATGTGTCATTTCATGCGTAAGTTCACCAAACAACCTATTTTTATTTTATTTTTTCGACGCCGGCGCCCGCCATCTTATGGCGGTCGGCGCATGAAGGTATAGTCACGTGCCGATGTAACTGAAGATTTATATTTATCTCCCTCTAGCAAAGGCATTCCACTATACGATGTCATATTTTCTTTCCCTTTCTTCACTCGTAGAAGTAGTTATCTAGTATTTTCGCCGTTTTTAAGCACCGCGATGTTGGTTCATGACGTGTCTATACATAATACGTCATTGGTCAAAACTAAATTATCGGTTCAGAAATTATTTATTTCCTGATAAACTTAGTTTACGTGAGTAAATTTATAAACGAGAGGAATCGATTCAGAAATATTCCATTTCCATATCGAATAATTTCACAACGTCACTATTTAGTAAGTGTCATAACGTTGCAACCCTGAAATTGTCAAATCTGGAATGGAATTAAAATTCCGAGTATACCTGTTATTTTTATGAGATCACATTCAACAACACATTATAACTTTAGTGTGATATATTAAACTAATTATTTATGTCGAATGCGTTACTTGTATTGTGGTCGTGGCGGTCCGGAGGTTAAGGCGCCCGCTTCTCATGCAAGAGAGTTTGAAACCTGACAAGTACCAATGTGTTTTTTCCGAGCTATATGTACTTTCTATGATTATTTAGACACCACTGATACGTGAAGGAAAGTTTCGTGATAAAACTCGGAAATTTGCGATCTCATACAAAGTTCATATCAATAGTTTTAGTTGGCTGCACGGTTGGCGCGGTGGCTGGGCAACTGGCTGCCGTGCGACGTGTCGCGGGTTCGATACCCGCCCGGAACAACACTTTGTGTGATCCACAAATTTGTTTCGGGACTGGGTGTCATGTGTTTGTGACATTGTATGTTTGTAAACGCACCCAAGACACAGGAGAAAATCCTAAAGTAGGGCAACAAGTTTTTGACAGACCTATTAATAAAAGTATTGAATTTGACTAGCTGGAAACTATCGAATTGTTTAACAACATAATGATCTAAGGACTGCAAAATGTAGTGTAACGAAACGTACGATTATACATTCAGTCAACAAAGTATCGGGAATGAATGTTTTTTTTATGGTTCCAAATTCGAATTTTAATTTTTTTTGTTGTTGTTAGATTGGCATAATTGTTTTCCATTTTGGCGCGGAATTTGAGTTGCATCTGTTATTTATATTAAAAACAGTGCTGTTTTTAGTTTTATAATATCTAGTGTGTATTGCGAATTTCATAATGGACAAAAACATCGAACAAAAAGTTTGTCTTCAATTTTGCATCGCCAATGTAATTTCGTGTTCTAAGGCACTCAAAATGTTACAGAAGGCTTACGGTGAATCGACTTTATCAAAAACACGTGCTTATGAGTGGTACAAAGCGTTCAAAAGCGGTCGAGATGTGATGGAAGATTTGCCTCGTTCTGGTAGGCCATCAACGTCTGCAACTGAAGTTAACATCGCAAAAGTGAAGGAAATAGTGACTGAAAATCCTCATTCAAGTTTGAGAGAGATGGCCGCCGAACTTTCTGTATCTCACGAGTCGATCCGTACCATTTTAACAAATAATTTGGGTATGAAACGTGTTGCCGCTCGGCTAGTCCCAAAAGACCTGAATTTTCTTCAAAAACTAAATCGCATTAAAGTCGCTGAGGACATGCTAGAACGAGTCAATACCGACCCAACATTAATGAAACGCATTGTTACTGGTGACGAGACGTGGGTTTACGAGTTTGACATGCAAACTAGTCAACAAGCTTCGGAATGGCGCCTTCCAACTGAACCAAAACCGAAAAAACCACGTCAAAGTCGATCAAAAGTCAAAGTCATGTTGACTGTTTTCTTTGACTATCGCGGTGTTGTGCACTCAGAATTCTTGCCCGAAGGTCAAACGGTAAATAAAGAATATTATTTGAGCGTTTAGGAGAACAAATTCGACGAAAAAGGCCAGAAATGTGGAAAGAAAATTCTTGGATTTTGCATCACGATAATGCGCCTTCGCACAAGGCCATCATTGTAAACGATTTTTTGTCCAAACACTCAACAAACACCATCGAGCAGCCACCATATTCACCAGATATGGCTCCAGCCGACTTCTTTCTTTTTCCCACACTCAAATTACCCCTTCGTGGCACCCGTTTTCAATCGTTAGAAGACATAAAGGAGAATTCGCGGCGAGCACTGAACACAATTCCGGAAAAAGCGTTTAAAAAAAGTTTCGATGATTGGATTATTCGTTGGCGTAAGTGTATCGTTTCTAAAGGAGCATACTTTGAAGGTGATAAAATAAATTTAGATGAATAACAAACATTTTGTGTATTATTGACTTTTTCCCGGTACTTTCTTGACAGAGTAGTATTTTAAATGAATAAACAAAATAGTTTTATTGTTGTATCATTATATGACGTGTGATAACTTTCTAATAACACGATAAATTATGGGCGGCCGTCACTAAAAATTACGTACTACCTACGACGTGCGCGACACCAGCAGTCGCGCGTATGGCCGCCTGCCGGTACGACTTCCCACGCGCTGTAACTAGCGTATCGTCGGCGTAACAAATGACGCCGACGCCGTGGAGTAGCGCAGCACAAAGCTGCAGCGGCGCCCATCAACAGGGCCCATGTAAAGTAAAATTCCACCGACTGTCGAGAATGAGTCCGAGGTACTTCATCGTGGACTCAACAGCGATGGAAATCCCTCTTACTATGATGCTGGACCCCTGAGGCGGCTTCGTCTTCGGCCCATGAAAACACAGGACTTCCGATTTGTGCAATGCCACGTCGTGGGTAGATGCCAGAACAGCTGCAGAAACGATTATTGCAAGAGCATTAGAGGCAGCAAGAACAAGGACGATTCTTGACGATGGTACCTTATCAACGAATGCTACCGCATCTACTGCTACTAACAGATCAAGTTTGGCTGCAGAACCAGCACAAACTACTACTCAAGCAAGTACTCCTTCAGATCTTGGAAAAGTTCGACGGGCACAGAAACAGCGTCGGTACAGACAACGTCTTGCAGCATCCAGAAGTCCTGCAGAGGTTATTTCTGCGAGAGCAGCGGAGACAGAGAGAAAACACAGTTATAGATTACGCGTAGCTGCTAACTCTGTTCTTGAAGATGGTTCATCTTCTGCAACTGGCTGGTCAAGTTTGGCAGAAGGACCAGTAGAAACAACTGCTCAAGCAAGTACTTCTTCAGGTCTAGTAGAACAGCAGGCACAATCTACTTGGAACACGAAATGGAATCCCTCTGTCAAGAGATTTGAACCAAGTTTTCTGGAGAACAAATTTGCCTGCAATATCACTGCCTCATGCGCGGATCTAAAGCCCATCCTTGCAGCAAACCTAGAGGTGATCCCGGACTGGTTTCTCAAAGTAGAATATCATTTATTCCAACTAAACCGTACTATGTACTTTTGAAACGTCAGAATAAGTCTATCAGTGAAGCTAGGTCGCTTCAAATTTCGAATGGAGAAGAATGAGCAAGAAACTCGATCGTTACATATTTTTTAATGTATACGTTTTGTCATTAACGTTCAGTAGGGAATGAGTTTATGTCACACACAATGATCGACATTGTGAATCTTGATTGTTGTATGCGAAAACGTGGTAGCTCCCATTGTGGTTCTTCATCACATCATCAGCCTTAATTTGTCCACTTCTGTGCAAAGGTCTCTTCACACACGGAGAAAGTTCGAGCATTAATCAGCTCGCTTGCTCAAGGCGGATTGACGATTTTGCTGAAATTAGAAATTATAAGTCCAGGTTTCCTTACGTCTAAATAGTAATAGAAAGTACATATAACTCGAAAAGTCACATTGATACTTGCCACGAGGTAGTGCAGATATTGCAGCTAAATTCGTTCTCCAGAAAACTTGATTCAAATCTCTTGACAGAGGACTTCCATTTCGTGTTCCAAGTACATTGTGCCTGCTGTTCTACTAGACCTGAAGAAGTACTTGCTTTGAAACCTGGCAAGTTGCCAGGTTTTGAACCCTCATACATGAGATGCGGTCTCCTTAACCTCCGGTTCAGAGGAGAGGTTCTTCATTATTGTTACGTTTTTATTAAAATGTATTTCTCTTTGTTCTAGTCTCGTCAATCGGAGGTCGAAAAGAACAAAGGAAATGTTGCCTGCCCCAAATGTGGCGCGGACTTTAATGTGGAAAGCAGAGAACAGGTAAGATATTTATAGACTTAAATAAATCTCTTGAGACGGAGCTTAACAGGGCCGATGTTCAACTGTGGTTGCGGGGCAAGCGCAATAAGTCACCGCAGCCTCGGCCTTGAGTCAGTTAGAGTCTGACACTCTGTCACCTCACCCTGGGCGAGCGAAGTCATTTGACGATTTTCCTCTTTCAAAGAAAGTCTCTTTTGATTTATAGACCACAGGCGTTTCTTAGAGTAATAAACTAGCCTAATATTTTCTTCCAGATAACCTTACTCTGTTTATCCCATTTTTTTGTTCTTGGAAGAGTATTTTTCGTAACCATTTGATTTACGAATGCGATGCCGGACTTGTGGGATTACGGTTTTAGAGACTTTGAGATTGGGAAGGTATAATGGGTGGCGAAGGATTTGGTCACTGGACATTAATCACGGCGAAACACAATGCTGTGCTTGTTTCAACGTCGATTTTCTGCGAGGCCGTGGTATCAGTCCGGTCGAGCCAACCCATTTGTGACACATGGATAGCCATGTGTGCCATACTATAATATTAATCGGATTTTTAAATGGGATATGGTGGTAAACGAGCTAAGGACATTTGGAACATCAGTAACTTTACCAATTCGTAAGAAGCCTTTGGGAGAAATGGACACGAATTGATACTACATGACATGATCAAACATATGTTAATTATGGGAAAGCCATGCTTCGGCACGAATGGTTCGTCTCGACCGGAGTGATACACATGGCCTCACAGAAACCGCCGTGAAACAACCACAGCGTTGTGTTTCGCCGTGTGAGTGAAGTTACCGTTGGCCCAACGCCTCCACCTCCCCATTCTTTTTCAATCCTTAAATATCTGAAACTCTTAGGCCGGTAACGCACTCGTAACTCCTTTGGTGTTGCGGTTGTAAATGGGCGGCGCTGATTGCTTACCATCAGGTAATCCGTCTGCACTGTTTTTAGGAAAATGTTAACGCAATTGTGGCCCGCGTGTATGCGTACTTTGCAATTGAAAGCACGGGGCTGTCGAGTGCACAGCTCCGGCAGCGCACCGCTGCGTTGACTGGCGTCAGCGAGGCCGACGTTCAGCGCGCATTGGACCAGAGCCCTCAGACGTTGCAGGATACTGACGAACCACAAGGCAAACGACGAAGGATAAAGTACGTATTATATAACAAACAATATTTCAGTATCTTCTACTATGAGTTGTCGATTTAAAGTCCAAAAACCATGCCTTTCATACCTACAGCATACACATCATCAGCCTATAAGTGTCCACTGCTAAGCAAAGGCCCCGCTTCTGACATGGTTTCACCATTATACACCACACTTGACCAAGGCGGATTTGTGATTTTAAGTCCAGGTTTCATCACGACATTTTCCTTCGCCGTATGTCAGTGGTGTCTAAATAATCATAGAGAGTACATATATAACTCGGAAGATGTCACATTGGTTTCGGACCCTCATACATGAGAAGCGGGCACCTCAGCCGCCGGGCCACTACGACATTATTCATATTCGAATCGTTTATTCATATTTGAATAATTAATTTTGTTGCAACATTATTTTTTTGATGGTTAAAACGTTGGTCGCCATGACATAGTAGTTAAGACGTCACTTCAACATAAAAAATTTAGGTCCACACTATATCAGTTGACATTTTGATGGCGATTAAAATGGCAATGTAATCGTTTCATTGAAGTATGGTACGCGTTATTCACTTGGTTTTTCTTTATGTGAATGATCGCCAAACGAGCATACGGATTACCTGATGGTAAGCAATCAGCGCCGCCCATGGACACTCGAAACAATAGAGGAGTTACGAGTGCGTTGCCGACCTTTTGGGATTTAGGTGAGTTAGGGTTTGGGGAGGGGAAGAATTTGGGCATCCGGTAACCTCACCCACACGGCGAAATACAACGTTGTAGTTTTTTCAAGCCGGTTTTCTGTGAGGCCGTGGTATCACTCCGGTCGAGTCGACCCATTCGTGCCGAAGCATGGCTCTCTCAAATTTAAATAAACTTAAACAATTGTGTGTATGTGAAGTGGACATCAGCAACACTAAAATACCAATTTGGTGATTAGGGCTTTGACAATTGGAGGAATTAAACCTCCGGAAACGTCACACTGCAAAACCGCTAGCGTTGTTTCACGGTGGTTTTTTGTGAAACCGTTATATCCCTCTGGACGACTATCATTCATTCCGAAGCATGCCTTTCTACTAAAACTTGAATCTAGTAAGGCTGTCCTACCGTTTGTTTTTTTTTGTTATTTGGCAAACGAGCAGACGGATTACTTGATGGTAAGCATTCGGCGCCGCTCCTGGACACCTTCAATACCTAAAGAGTTACAAATGCGTTGTCAGTCTTTTGGGTGTTAAAGTTTCCGATATTTTGGGATATCGGGGACGGATTCGATCTCCGGTAACTTTCACGCCGGTTTTCGATGAGGCCGTTTGATTACTCCTGTTGAGCTGGCCCATTCGTGCCGAAGCTTGGCTCTTACACACTTAAAAGTGGTATATTTTCTTGTTTTTTATTTCGCAATGGGCAGACATTTAACCGCTATTACGCCTGATGGTAAGTGAAAATGCGACCTACGATGGAGCACGCCTACCCATAAGCAACCTATTCACTCGAGCCTTGAAGACTTCAAGGAACACAGATGATTTTTAATTCAAAAGTAATTATACTCATTTTTTTCAGGGAAGAACCCGATGAAGAGCCTGCAGTGTGTGTGAAACTAGAGTCAGATGAAAATAAATCGGACGGGTGAGTTTGTAACCTATAAAGCCATTTTTTTATGTGATTAACGGATTACCTGATGGTAAGCATATAAGCAATCAACGCCGCCCTTGGACGGGTGGCAACAACACAGGAGTTACGAGTGCGTTGCCAACCTTTTGGGGGTTTTTTTTTTTAACAAAAAACGTTGTACCACATTAGGATTTTCTCCTGTGTCGTGGGTGCGTTTACAAACATACAATTTCACATATACATCACACCCAGACCCGGAACAACAATCTGTGGATCACACAAAGAGTTGTTCCTTGCGGGAATCGAACCCGCGACACGTTGCGTGGCAGCCAATTGCCCAGCCACCGCGCCAACCGTGCAGTCTTGGATTAGGAAGTTGGAGACTTAGGGAAGGGGAAGGATGGGGACTCCGGTAACCTCATTCACACGGCGAAACACAACGCTGGGGTTGTTTCAAACTTGTTGTCTGTTTTTAGGGAGAAGGACCCGCTAGCTCCGGACGTGGACATGAAGCCTGATGTTACAGAGACACACTCCACACATCCGTAAGTTTTTTTTTATGTAATAGATCGTCAAACGAGCAGACGGATTACCTGATAGTAAGCAATCATCGCCGCCCACGGACACCCGCAACGTAGGAGTTACGAGTGCGTTGCCGACATTTTAGGGATTAGGGATTTGGAGATTTAGGGATTGAGGAGGGATTGGGGGTGGGGAAGGATTGGGCCTCCGGTAACCTCACTCACACGGCGAAACACAACGCTGTGGTTGCTTCACACGCTTACGTTATAATTATTTTATACATTTATGTATATCTATACTAATATTATAAAGAGGTAAATTTTGTAAGTTTGTATGTAGGGGTTATCTTTGGAACCACTGGTCGGATTTCCAAAATAATTAACTGATGGATAGCTACAATTTTCCTGAGTGCTAGGCTATAAAACATAACGCTACGATCAAATGGAGCCGAGCAGCGGGTGAAACCGCATATGAGTAGCTATTTAATAATATATAATAACGTAAGGACTCGGATACGCCGTTAAACTGAGACCAGACAACGAGGAGTGGGCAGAAGCATTCCATTCATATATCGGTGACCTAACAGAGATCCACAAGCGTGGGGATTTTTTATATAAAAATACGTTGCCCCACAATTTCACATACACATCACACCCAGACCCAGAACAACAATTTGCGGATCACACAAAGAGTTGTTCCGTGCGGAAATCGAGACCACGACACGTTGCGCGGCAGCCAGTTGCCCAGCCACCGCGCTAACCGTGCACTCGAAGATTATGGCAATCTTCTCCCCAGAGGGGGAGGGGAGAGGCCTTTATTCAGCTATGGACGCCTTTCGGCTGACAATAATTAAAGTATTACATCATACATCAACATCAACAGCCTATAAGTGCATACTGCCGCAAAGGCAAGCGAAGGCCTCTTCTCACACGGAGAAGGTTTGAGCACTAATCACCACGCTTGCTCAAGGCGGATTGGCGATTTCATACTTATAGTTAGTAATTATAATTCCAGCTTTCCTCACGATGTTTTCCTTCACCGTATGTCAGTGGTGTCTAAATAATCATAGAAAGTACATATAACTCGGAAAAAGTCACATTGGTACTTGCCAGGTTTCGAACCCACACCCTCATGCATGAGAAGCGGGCTCCTTAATTTCCAGACCACCACGACAACTAGAAGAGAATATAAATAACTAGCTTCTCTCTCGCGGTTTCACCCGCTGCTCGACTCCATTTAATCGTAACGTGATGATTTATAGCCTATAGCACTCAGGAGCATTGGACTTATCTATTAGTGAAAGAATTTTGGCAGTCCGACCAGCGGTTCCAAAGATTGCCCCCTACATACAAACTTACAAATTTTACCTCTATATAATATTAGTATAGATTTTTATATTATTCCGTTTGTTGCAGGAGTCATCTCATGGTGAGCGAAGGTATAAAAAGAGAAATTACAGAATTCGAAGATGGTTTTAGATAGCATGCTGTATTTATAAATGTTAATGAATTATTATTGCAGTTTTAATACAATTTTTAAGTGACGAATAATTGATAATCCTTTTTTATGATAATAAAACTGGTTGCAAGCAATTTGCGCTATAAGGAGTCAAGGGACTCCTTGACCAGGTTGCTGCCCTTTGAAGGTTAAGCCGGGGTTGCGGGACAAGCGCAATAAAGTACCGCGTCACCAAAAATACATCCATACATTCTGATAAACATTCCAATTTTTAATATTAGGAAGATTTGAGAGCATTTGCTGATGGTTTGACAATAAACTGTAGAAACGAATGTGTTTCTCTGCGTAAAGGAACACCAGCCCGTAATTATAATCTGTGGCGTATTCGCGTGACATGACACCATTTTTCTTTCTTTTCTTTTTTAAAAATAAACGTTGCACCACATACGGCTTTTCTTCTTTGTCGTGGGTGCGTTTACAAACGTACAAATTCACATACACATCACACCCAGACCCGGAACAATAATTTGTGGATCACACAAAGAGTTGTTGCATGCGGGAATCGAGCCCGCGACACGTTGCACGGCAGCCAGTTGCCTAGCCAGTGTGCAATCAAACAACTACGTAAATATTCGGAGAACTGAAACAAAATATTAAATACTAGCTATTCTCCTGCGGTTTTACCCGCTACTCAGCTCAATTTGATCGTAGCGTGATATTTTATAGCCTATAGCACTAAGAAACCTTGTAGCTATATATCACTAAAAGAATTTTGGCAATCCGACCAGTGGTTCCAAAGATTACTCCCTACATACAAACTTACAAAATTTACCTCTTTATAATATTAGTATAGACTAGCTTTTGCCCGCGGCTTCGTTTGCGTGCATTACTGTGACTTCCTGCAGATTTTTGGTATAGAAACTTAAATCCTATGACTTTTCTCGAGTTCCAAACTATATCTGTACCAAATTTCACTGAAATCGGTTCAGTGGTTTAGGCGTGAAGAAAAGACAGACAGACAGAGTTACTTTCGCATTTATAATATTAGTTTGGAAGTTTGGATTTGGATTTCGTGTTTTAAATATGAATAGCAAAGTATAGTGGTGTACAGTGCCTTTGTGCTTAAACACAACAATAAGAACACTAGAGAACATATTTGTTTATGTCCCAAACAACTAAGAAAGAAATTAGAGATATGTGGCTGAAATATGCACGTTGGTTGGGACCCATTGGAAGTTAGAAAATTAGAAGATTAGAATTTATTTCTGAGAAGACCAATTTAACGTGAATAGTTGATATAGACTTTTCCTTTCACGGAACCACAGGATCCCGGACCTTTGGAAGGCGTGCGAGGGGCCGAAGCTCGCAAAGGCCCGTTGAACAGTTTTAATCTAAATGTGATGGGACATCAGCCGGCAATTATCCCTGTATGCACTATAAAAGTGCACCCAAGGATAATCCCCGGTTGATGTAGGACTATTGTTCAATATAATAGAATATTATATGGTTATGGTTGTGGATGGGTGGATATAGACTGGTAGATGATAACTATGGAAATAGTATGGCCCATGCCTCTGATCAATATTGATACATACGGATAAACGGGCAGGGGATGACTGGCAAACTCAATTAATGGGCCCCCGGAAACGGCCGCTAGCATGTAGCTACTCGGAGGCAACATACGTTGAGCTGCTTGGATAAGGAGAGGCATCCCACGGCTATCCGAGCAATCCCGGAAGCACGGTCAAGACCCCCTACCAGCACCTTACTGAGATACATCCTTCCCCCGAGTTAGACTTTATTGTTATCTAAAATATAATTAATTATGTATAAAACTCTCGTGTCACAGTTTTCGTCGCCATACTCCTCCGAAACGGCTTGACCGATTTTAATGAAATTTTCTATCTATGAGAATCGGCCAACATCTATTTTTCATCCCCCTAAATGTTAGGGGTAGTCCAGACCTAATTTTTTTTATTTTTTAGACAAAAATTTTAAGTCCTCAATTTTCACTCTTTTACGATCAACCCTTATTTTTTTAGTAGTTTAATCATTTTTCCTCTCCGGCCGAAAACTGATCAATCGTCATTTAATTAGTTATCCCCGCCAGTTGTCTACAGGTGTCACTTCTGACGCCCGTGTGAAGCCGGGACGAGTCGCTAGCATACCATACTACTTCTGTATGATTTCGTCCACAGTAGGTACTTACCGTACCCTTTAGAATAGAGGTAGACATGCTCTTAGAATAATAATAGTTGCGAAAATGAGATGACACATTGTAAAAATACGTATGTGTGAGCAGGACAAAGCATATGTTTTTGTCTTGACGTATCGGTTTTTTGTTGTATGCCATCACTAGTCAGTCATTGATGGCTAACAGACTGTGGTGTCAACATATGTATTTTCATTGAAATAAACAGTGAAACGCTTACTTTGTGTTATTTGTGACTTCATTGATATTCAAAAAAAAAATATTTAGTGTCTAGTGATGGTGAATTGCTGTGTAAGTGGCTGTAAAAGCCGTAGTGAACGAAATGAAGCAAACATAACCTTTCATCGGTAAGTAGCATTTTTTGCATATGACAGCATGTAAATCAATGATGTATAAAACTATAGATACGTTGTCCGCGCTCTAAAATGACAACAAAATGAAGGCAATTGACAACATCGCGCTTAGTTACGCACCAACCTGCCGCGCGACGCTACGTTTGTTTTTAATTTATTTCGTGTGTAAACCTGTGCGAAACACAAAGAAAGCATGTCGTCGTGTGTGTTCAGACGATGTACAAATTATACTCCAAAAGTTAAAGACAAAAAAAAATGTGTCATTTCATGCGTAAGTTCACCAAACAACCTATTTTTATTTTATTTTTTTCGACGCCGGCGCCTGCCATCTTATGGCGGCCGGCGCATGAAGGTATAGTCACGTGCCGTCGGCATAACTGAAGATGTATATTTATCTCCCTCTAGCAAAGGCATTCCACTATACGATGTCATATTTTCTTTCCCTTTCTTTACTCGTAGAAGTAGTTATCTAGTATTTTCGCCGTTTTTAAGCGCCGCGATGTTGGTTCATGACGTGTCTATATATAATAGGTCATTGATGTAAATAAAATAATTATTGTACTTAAGACTTTTTTGTATCAATATTAAGCAAAATTTTGTGATAATTTTATCTAAAAATGCGGTAAAATCCTAACTTGTTTTTGTACTAACCGACCAAAGTGGGAAGCATTTTGTGTTAGGTTGTTATCCATGTTACTTTGTGTCATTTGTCAATAGTCGGATAATAACTTGACTGGGATACCAGCACTATTATGATTTTTACCACGTACTTAATGTTTACTTTTTTTAGATTTCCGAATGAACAAACTTTAAGAAATAAGTGGATTGAGTGTACGGGTCGAATTGTGAAAAATGTTGACGTTCAAAAGTGCCCGTATGGGTCTAATTGAAATAAATGATTTTGACTTTGACTTTGAATTAACTGGCATCCAAGTCGTCACTCTCGAATCTGCTCACGACATTTCGAAGCAAGTTGCTTTCGACAGAAATTAAATAGTACTTACTTATTTCCTCGCTCGATACCCACACTGTTCATTCAGGTAAAATAAGTTTATTATAAACAACAGTTTTTTCTACTCGTTTAATTAACTTTTGTACGTAAACATTTGTTGTGACTTTATTTCTTGTTACACGGAAATATAAAATGCAATTAATTTAAGTTGAATATACATACAGGGTGTAAAAAGACACTTAACGAAGCCGTTAACTACGCGTACTGCAGTTCTAACTAAGTAGGATTACGCTAAAATTATCACTGGGAAACTACTTTTATTTTTAGGTAACGAAAAAAAAAAATATTGCGCGCAATGTAAAGCAAACGGGCGTCGTATTATTGTGTGCGTAGGTTCACAGCTTAGCATTAAAACGCTGTGATAAGTACGTAGGTCGACGTTTTACTTCGCAACAACAAAACTATACTGTAAAATAAAAATCCTACTGAGATGCACGATGTTTTTTGTGCGGGACTGCATTTATTTATTACGTACATTACTGTTCGTAACTTCAAATGCGTAATTTATTCAGAAAATTCGAAAATTCAGGTAATGTTTGTTTGGAAAAAAGTTTTGTAATAATACTAAGAATTCGATTGCGCAAAAAAAAAAAAATGCATCTTTGACCTTCAATATCTCGAGAACCCGTGGAGTCCCAGCTATGGTCTTAAAGAAAAAAATGATCCAAATAATGGGTAGAATACGTGGCTTTCGGCTTCGTTAAGTGTCTTTTTACACCCTGTATACCTAAATTCTAAGCTACCAAAGAAACAGGTTTAGTAAAACTTACTAATTAATTTGACCATTCATGAATTATTATTTTTTCCTTTTTGTTTGAAATTTCAGGTGAGATCGGAATTAGATCAAGCAAGCTCCTCAAAATGTGATTCTATGGGGGTTGGCAAGCAAGCAAAGGATTATGTGGTACTTATTTATTTTTTATCCAACTACGTCAAAACAAAAGGAGACTTATGATTTTGACAGGCTATGTATGTATGTATGTAGGTTCATCTGTTCCCCCGTAACTTCTAAACTACTTATCAGAACTCGACATATGACATATCATTAGAAACGTCTTCATTGTCCGCTGGTTATAGGCTATATGATGTATCACAAAATCTAATGTGGCGTCTTTTAGCGGACAAAACAACCACAATAACGAAATAAAGTTAAGATAATTATACCGTGTTTGGTACCATTTTAAATATACATATATTACTAGCATTTGCTTGTGACTGCTTGTATTCATGGGCTGATTGCATATAATTCACATCTTTTCGTTCATACCTTTTACTACTTAATATTAGTTCATTCTTTTGTTGATATTTTGCGCCACAAATACACTTTAACACCAAAATAGTACAAATAATAAAAAGTATAAAAACTAAAACCCAACTACAACAAAAACCGACGCTGAAAAAAA